CCTGCATCAGGCTCCCTGCTCGGTGGGAAGCCTGCTTCTCTCTCCCATGCTACCCCTGCTGTGTTCCCTCTCGCTGTGTCTCTATCAAATAAGTAAATAAAATCTTTTAAAAAAAACTACATGTTAAGTGAAATAAGTCAAGCAGAGAAAGACAATTGTCATATGGTTTCACTCATATGTGGAACATGTTGGGTCCGTTATCAAAGGAATGAGACTGAGACAAAGTGAAAGTTATGTAAAGCTTTATTCTATGCTAAGCATTAGAAGTCAGACTGACCAGCCAGGGCCGCCTCCGAAGAGAGCGACAGCCCCCACCCGCCTTGGTCTTACGGGTTAGTTTTATAGGGCACAACCACAGACCTCTGTGTATGTGGCTTTGGCTGATTGGATGTGTCTCTTACCTGTGTGTTTTAGTAACAGTTACCTGGAACTGATATCAATAACTGTTGAGGCGTTTATTAAACAAAATGGCCTTGTTTTAGGTGTGTGTTTTAGCAACAGTTACCTGGAACTGATATCAGTAACTGCTGAGGCATTTATTAAACAACAAAATGTCTACCTAGGCAACATGGAGTCACTTTGGCTAAGTAGGCCCAGGCAGGCCCTTAGGGGTTTAACAGGTTTTAACGTGGAATCGACCCCAACAGAACATAAGCAATGGCACAGAGGACAATAGGGGAAGGGAGGGAAAACTAAATGGGAAGAAATCAGAGAGGGAGAAGAACCATGAGAGACTACAGAACCCGGGAAACAATCTGAGGGTTTCAGAGGGGAGGGAGGTGGGGGCGGGGGTAACAGGGTGGTGGGTATTGAGGAGGATACATGTTGTGATGAGCTCTGGGTGTTATACTAAACTAATGAATTGCTGAACACTACATCAAAAACTAATTATGTACTATAGAGTGGCTAATTGAACATAATTTTAAAAATCATCTTTTTTTTTACGATTTTATTTATTTGACAGAGAGAGACAGCAAGAAAGGGAGCATAAGCAGGGGTAGTGGGAGAGGGAGAGGCTTCCTGCTGAGCAGGGAGCCCTGATGCCATGCAGAGCTGGATCCCAGGATGCTGGGACCATGACCGAGCCAAAAGCAGATGCTTAACGACTGAGCCACCCAGGTACCCGAATAAACTATATCTTATTAAAAGATGTACAATATTTCTATGAGTGAATTAAAAAATTATAACTTACCTCCTATACCCTGAAGTTCTACCAATTAAATACTTGCTTAGGGCGCCTGGGTGGCTCAGTTGATTAAGCAACTGCCTTCGGCTCAGGTCATGATCCCAGAGTCCGAGGATCAAGGCTCACATCAGGCTCCCAGCTCCACAGGGAGTCTGCTTCTCCCTCTGACCTTCTCCTCTCTCATGCTCTCTCTCACTGTCTCTCTCTCAAATAAATAAATAAAATCTTAAAAAAATAAATAAATACTTGCTTAAGTTAGTAAATATATTAAATAGCTTATAGGTCTGCTAGAGGTTCCAGTCATTTATACCTTAGTATTAATCAGTAAAGTCAGATCCCTTTCTCTCTGCATTTGGTGAAGGTCACTTGGGGCAATGAGGAATCCGATAGGGACTCATGGTAGGCAGATGCTTTGGAGCATGAAGCACTTCAGCAAGGACAGGTCTGAGTGAGCCAACTCTGACGTAGGGAAGGAAGCATGGTTCCAGGTACTAGAATTTAGGACAGTACTATAGATCAGCTACCTTACGGATTAAATCAATAGTTTGTAAGCTAGTTTGGGAATTTAATGTTTATAATGTTGCTCAGGTCTCTTGGAGCTATGACTGTCCATGACTCAGTGACACTGTTTCTATGGGATGATGTGTTCTGAGTGTTAAACAACAAAATTACAAGGAAACTTTTGTACCTAACCTATTCTGTGTTGGAAATAAGAAACATTTATCAGTGACACAAGTATCAAAAATGACACATTTCCTATGTGTCAGTTCAGATATAAACACTTTAAATGTTAACTTATTTAATCCTTATGAGGAGGCACTGATATTATTTAGTTTTACGGGTGAAGCAACTGAGGCACAGAGTTTCATGGCTTGCCAGGGTCGTTCTTGGATTTGAATCCAGGCAACCTGACTTCAGAGGTTATGGCTCTTAACCTTTGTCCAAGATGTTTCTAACTTCTATGTGTAGATTTCCATAGATTTCTATGCATAGATTTTTATGGATTTCTTTCTATGCATAGATTTTTATGGATTTTAGAAGTATTTTCAACTTGTGATTTCTCATTTATGCCTCCAAAATAACTGAGGCAATTTTCAGGAGCTGAGAGGGAAAAACAATGGAAAGCAGAAATAGCTTAATGGAGATTCAGTTGAGGAAATCAATGAAGCTCAGGACTTGAATTCAAAAGCTATTTTTATAATGGACTTTAAGGGGATTTCAAAAAATCAGATGTGCATTACTATGATAAACTTCTGCTCACTTTTCTTTCTTCCTTTCCTTTTCCTTTCCTTTCTTTTTTCTCCCTTTCCTTTCTTTCCTCCTTCACTCCCATCTTCCCTCCTCCTCCTCTTCCTCCCCCTCCTCCTTTTCTTTCTCTTTCTCTCTCTTTTTGCCTTTCCAACTTCAGCTTATTATTCTTGGGGAGAGGGATGAATTTTACCATTGCTTTTCCATTAAACAATTTATTTCTAAATGGTGATAGAATTTTTAAGCCTTCTTTTTAAGTATGAGAAATGTTCTGTAGACTTTAAATGATTCTTCATGGTGTAGTTGAGAAAGCACAGGATGAAGAAAATATAAGTATTGAAATTTTGAGAATTCTCAATCTCAAAGTATTCCTGTAACAATGGTAGCATAGAGCACCATTCCAATGATTTAGCTCAAAAACATCATAAGTGCTTCATAAATAAGTGTTGAATCTCCACAAGGGATGCCCTCTTACTACTTGGTAATCAAATACTGCATGTGACCAGGGAAATGGGAAAGATGCATTATCTTCCTCTTGTGGCTAAGGAGGCAGATGAAGATGGAATTAAGAAGACTGATAACAACAAAGATGTAGCCAGGCAGGAGGTTCAAAAAGATTAAGACCATGTAATTTGCACAGCACACCATTCTCTGATTAAGGTGTTTTAGAGTTAGTCTGAGGGGTCTGATTGTGGGCATGGTAGAATTAGTGGAGCAACCATGTCGCACAGTACTCACAGGTGGATGGATAAATGCTCAGATGAATTATGAGTTCCTCATCCAGTTTTTTTTTAATTTATTTGACACAGAGAGAGAGAGATCACAGGTAGAGAAGCAGGCAGAGAGAGAGAAGCAGGCTCCCCACCAATCAGAGAGCCCGATGCGGGGCTCGATCCCAGGACCCTGACATCATGACCTGAGCCAAAGGCAGAGGCTTAACCCACTGAGCCACCTAGGCGCCCCTCCTCATCCAGTTTTTAAGAGCTATCCTAAAGCAGGAGAGAATTGAAGAGATCCAGTTACAAGGCCTGTCAGCTCTTACAGGAAGTGTGCAGATAATAAGATAGCATCACAAAGAATAGTAATGGAGAAATAGCCTTCCATTCCTACACGTGTACCCCCTAATGTGCTTAGTGACATGAGAAGCAAAGCAGCTGTGGAAAGATCTGTAAAAGCGCTAGGAAGTTTAAAAAAGAAATCTATAAATAAAGCTCTTTTTTAATATATTTATTATATATAATATTAATATATAATATTACATATTATATATATTTATATATAAAGCTCTCATTGTATATATTTATATATAAAGCTCCTAGCCAAGAAATAATAGAAAGAGTAACTGACATTGTAATCAGAGTCCCTGATGTAGTGTTAACATTCTAGGAAAACACGAGAAAACAAAGGTGTTCTCCAAGAAAATTAATACTGGTGGAGGATTTTAAAGTCCCTGTAAATGTAAGGAACACTTTACTGAATTCAATTGCAGAACACCCTGAGGTTCTCAAACAACTTTATTTTGCAATTTTTATATCTCAGAGCATTTTGGTGAGATTTCTTACTAAATGGTAGACATGAACTCAATAGTTTGAGAAAATAAAGTTTTATCACTGTTTTCATGGCTTCATTAAGAAGCAGGAAGAATGTGGAAGTTGATTAATCCACTAGGACTAACCCACTACAAGAAGACTGATTTCTCAAAATTATGTGAGAAGCAGCCTTATGGTTTTGAAACTATATTTTGTGAGTTATTAAAAGTTTAAACAAATTTACCAAGATCCTTGGATAATAAAGGACTGATGTCCTTGAGAAACTCTGAGATGTTATAGATTTTAGAATGTCTTCAAGTTTATGGCCCAAGAATACAGCCTGGAGTTGACAAGTGGCAAAACCTTTGATGAACACAGCTAGTGAGCTTGCATTCCTCTCTGATGTCAGTCCCTCTCTCCCACAAGTGCAGCAAACGAAAGGGATTTGTTCTGGATATCCTCATACAAAGTAGATTAGTTTGGAACCAGTAGAATTTATGGTTAAGTTGGTTACACTGGAATCAAGCCACTGTGGGTTCAAATCCTAGCCCTGCTACTTTCTATCTTTATGAAATTGGGCAAATCACTTCATCTTTCTGAGCCTCAGTTTAATCATCTGTGAAATGGGAATGAAAATTTCCAGAGGTTTTTCTCTATTAGGAGTGAAGTGTCAATTATTTTAGAGTCTTTTTTTTTTTTTACTTTACTTTACTGTTGTGGTAGGGTTTTTTTTTTTTTTTTTTTTTATTATTTATTTATTAGAAAGAGAGCACAAGCAGGAGAAGGGGCAGAGGGAGGGGGGAAAGAGACTCCTTAGCAAGCTGGGAGCCCAGTGAAGGACTCAATCCCAGGACTTTGGGATCACGACCTGAGCTGAAGGCAGATGCTTAACCCCCTGAAATGCCCAGGTGCCCCTGTGGTAAAGTGTTTTTATTACCTAATATATTTATCCTCATTTTTGAAGTTGAATTATCAAGGGCAAAGGTCACTGTCTTTTCCCTCCATATGTTTTTACCTGAGTTGTCTCTGTCTTGCAGAATTCCCTACTTTGAAACTAGTGCTGCCAACGGGACAAACGTAAGTGAAGCAATCGAGATGCTCCTGGACCTGATAATGAAGCGAATGGAAAGGTGTGTAGATAAATCCTGGATTCCTGAAGGAGTGGTCCGGTCCAATGGTCACACCTCTAGAGATCACTTGAATGAAGAAAAGGAGAAGGGGATCTGTGGCTGTTGAAGAGTCCAGTGAGCTACACAGTCATTCGAGTGGCCCGTGTCTGTGGTCTTTTCTATGGGCGATACATGGCACAGAGAGAGATGAACAGGCATAGCGTACAAACTGCTTCTACCATTTCACTTAGACCTCTCTGGTTTTAAAATTTATTTGCTGCAGCTCTGTAAATACTTAACATTCAGCCCCAGAGTTATGAGAAATATTTCGCAGAGCCACAAGTGCCTTATAAAACCTTAGTGCATGGTAGTAGATGATTCAGAATTGAGGAATTCGTGCCACAACAGAGTGCATTTATTATGTAGAAAGACTAAAGATACCATCATCTGCCTTAACATACATCAGTCCAGAGTCTGACACTCAAAATCTTAGATACAATGATAAAACTACCAATCTTTAATCCAAATTAAAAAACCCTACTACTCGTATGTGGGTGACCTTATAAAATGCCATCTAAACCACTGGATTGTTAAATAAGAATATACACGAACATCATTTCAATGTCCTTGAGTATTAATTTATAGGAACAGAGTCTTTAAAATTAATATAGCATAGATGATGCTTTTATCTATAGACTGGATAAAGTGGATTGACCAATTGTATATTCACTATGACTCTTGTTGGTAGGAAGGGAGTTGGGGGTGAGGTTAGGGGGGAATTAAATTTTTGTGGCTTTATTTCACTATTATCTGTTTGTTTATACTTGGCCTACACGCTGGCCACATTTGAACATAGCTGGTGCTTATGCCAAAGTTATTTGTGATAAGTAAGCATTTAGCTTCTTTTTCTTCATATTTATAATGTTGGTCTGGCATCCTCAGACTGCAGTTTTAATTAGCTTGTAAACTACTAATTTTTTGTCTTTGCCGTCATGCTTTGTATTATTGATATTTGCAACTTGTTTTATTTTTACATTGGTGGAATTGAAGGAATTAGATTTTAATTACATAAAATGTTTGCTATTTGGTAGAAGAAGGATGTTTGTATTTAAGCAGTTACATTTATACTATAGCTCAATATAAGAAAAATGAAGCCTTAAATAACCTATATTTTTTATTGAGATCACAGGCATTTATTGTACTTGCTGGGTCTTGCCAAGATCATGAATTCCTCTGCATTGCCTAAGTGTCTTTGTATCAGATTAAAGTTAGTTTTAAAATATGCTTCGTGGCAGGTGTTTATAAAGGTCATAGGGGAAATTCTTATTTATTAAAGTGGTTTAAGTAAATTCGATTAAAATTTCCGAAGAGCTTAATGGCTATTTAGAAAGAATTACCATTCATTATAATTTAAACAAAGAATAATAATAAATGCATCTTGTGGTGGCAAATGATTGGAAGAACTGTAGTTAGGAGCATACACCTATGATGGAAGTAATTACTTTTACATGGTTATTTTCAAATAGCTTTTTATTGAGTATCTATCCTATTTCCTTGCCACTTCCTCCCTACTACTCCCTTTAAAAAATTAGCTGTGATTAGTGAGATCTTATATGTTTCTCTCCTTGAAGTGAAGACTTCTTTTAAATACTAAGGAAGTCATTGAGTCCTATGCATTTGGATTGTGTATTCCAGTAAGGAAAAGATCCAGACATTACAAGGTAGTGACCTAATCACAGCAGTACCTTCTAAAGTTGCTGTAGACTTCAGTGGAGCAAATCCTAATTTTACAGCTATGTATCAGGCATCACTTTATATGATCTGTTATGTAGTTCAAAAGAAGACAATATTTGTATGTTTTGCTTTTTTCAAGAACCAAACAGCAATCAGCTAATTCCCCATTGGCTTTAAGCATAATACACAATTAAACATAGCATGATACAGTACACATGCAAGAACTATCTTTAATTATTGAAATAAATGACCTGTATTCTCTTTGGAAATCCTTTGTTTGAATTTGGTGTTAAAGTATCATTTTTGGGCATCAGTGCATTTTTCTATTTATAAGACTGTGTAAAAGTAAAGTGTATTCTAAGCAAACTTTATGCCAATTAAGCTTTTAATTAAAAAGTGGTCTAGTCTGCCAAGTTTGTGTGTGAATATAACTTCATTATACTTCTCCTTCTGAGGTATTCTAGGTTATTCTGGGGATTCTGCTCAGTATGGAGTCTGCTTGAGATCTACCTCTCCCTCTGCCCCTCCCATTCATGCTGTTTCTCTCTGTCTCTCAAATAAATAAATGAATAAATCTTTAAAAAAGAAAAGATATAAACTCCATGACAAATGGGACTCAGGCAACTTTCTTCAGAATTGTGTTGCCACTATACCGAAAAGGGCCACTACACAGTAGGTTATTGGTGAACTGCACAGAGGACTTCAGTGGCAGCAGAGTCAACTGAATGAGTTTTCAAAGAGGAGTCACTGTTAATGTTCAAAGAGGCGTAGTATTTGAAAATAAAAATAGCTTCAAAAATGTTTAGACAGGCTCACCTGTGTTTATGGTTTATGTGAGAAATAGGGAAATCTGAGAAGTACATTCTGTATCTTAAAGTTGATGTCAAGGTTGCTAACAATCTAAGAAATGTTCAAAGGGAATGTTTTGATTGACATTTTTGTAAACTGGAAATTTCTGTATGGTATTTTATTTCTAGGACTTCTATTTTTGGCAGTATTGGTGACTATATAACTGGAAAGTTCTTCCACTATAAAACATTTAGATAATGCTGAATAGAATATAATGAATGTACTTTTTTAAAGATTTTATTTATTTGTTTGACAGACAGAGATCACAAGTAAGCAGAGAGGCAGGCAGGGGATGGGGTGGGGGGGAAGCAGGCTCCCCGCTGAGCAGAGAGCCTGATGCAGGGCTTGGTCCCAAGACCCTGGGATCATGACTTGAGCTGGTCCTAGTACCCTGGGATCATGACCTGAGCCGAAGACAGAGGTTTAACCCACTGAGCCACCCAGGTGCCCCATAATGAATGTATTTTTTAAAAAATATTTATTTGACAGAGAGGGAGAGAGATCACAAGTAGGCAGAGAGGCAGGCAGAAAGAGAGAGGGAAGCAGGCTCCCCACGGAGCAGAGAGCCCGACATGGGACTCCATCCCAGGCGCCCTGAAATCACAACCCGAGCCGAAGGCAGAGGCTTAACCCACTGAGCCACCCAGGCGCCATTTTTTAAATGTAGTATTGATCTCTCAATAAAGTAAGGGAAATATTCTGCGACCACCCCTTTCCTCCCACAAAATAGACAATAACAGGGCGACTGCAATGGCAGCAACAGAAAGAAATTTCAACAACTTGATATTAAGTCTGGTTTGCTTTTGGTTTCATTTTGCCAGTATTAGTAACCAAGGTGCTTGGTTTTAGTGACTACATGCCATTAGGGGAGAAAGTCTTAGATATGGTGGAGGTAGGGCACTGGAATGAAGAAGCCCTCACCCCCAAAGAGACAAAAATCCAGGGCCCACTCTATGTCTCAGTCTCTCCTGAGAAATGTAGAACCTTTAATACGGGTTTAGGTTCAAATTTATAGTACCTACTTTTTTTTTTTTTTTTTTTTTTTTGTCTGAGAATGGCTAAGCCAAGAAGTTAACATAAAAAAGTGATTTGTGGCTGGTAATACTTCTGGACGGCTTAGTAGAAGCAAAGCAAAATCTTTTCAGAGGGAACATCTCCACCCACACTTTACAGGACTCTTCCAGAAAACACTCTACAAGGATGAACTCACAATTAAAAGTGACAAACCATTCCTTCACTGCTCTCTCAGCCTCAATCATGAGTAAGGGTCAGTAAACCCAAAGCAGCAGTATTTTACACTTAAGAACTTCAAATAATATATTTATCAGATGGGGATCATAAGGTAAAAATGTTTAAGAAAATTACAAACATAAAAGGAATTGAAACATCTGGAAAAAGAAGGCATTATTAAAGTTACAAAATTGGATTGAATGAAAAGACTTCATGTATGAGAAATATTGCCATCGATATTCAAAACTTAATGGCCAAAAGTTGAATAGCGAGTTTGACACAGTTGGAGAGAATTAGTCAACTAGAAGCTAGTTTGGAGGAAATTACACAGAATTCAGCAGAGATAAAGAGCGACTAAGGAAAGAGATACAGAGGAAAGATAAAAGCTCCAATTTATATCCATTAGGAATTCTAGAAGAAGAAATTAGAGAAAATAAAAGAAGAAGCAATATAAGAAAAGAGCTGAAGATTTTTTAGTAATGATAAAACACATACTTTCAGATTCAGGAATCATGTCTCAAGCAGGATGAATGAAAAGAAAGAGTATTTCCATGATTTTAGCTCAATTTATTGGATGTGGTCTCCATGTCTTTCTCTCTTTTCGCATGCATTCTGTTATAATAACTGCAAAGAAAAAAGCTTTGAAGACAGGCTACTCATCCATTCAACCTAAAGTAAAGTACTGCATATGCTTATAGGCTGAAAGGAACAAAGCCTCCAATGAAACCTTAGGGCACGGGATTAAGAGCACTGATAAAGGATGTGGCCTCTGATATGGTAAGAGGGGAATGCTGGGTGATCATGTAAGTGAGAAGGGTAGGAGCTTTCTTTTTTGAGTAGCAGGATAAAACAGAGTTGTGAGGGAATTGTGTAAATAGCTTGGGAGGACTGGTGAGACTCTTCTGTAATTGTTGATGGGAATAAGAGAGGGAGAGGATTTAACAAGGATTAAATAATTTTCAGTCTCTTGGTTGACAATGAATTTTGGGCAAATGTTTATTACTAACATTTCTGATATGTGCCTTTGTTGCTAACATTGTTCTGGAATTACTAGTCAAATGATTAGAGAAGAAAAGTAAATATAATTACCAGATAAAAGGAAAAATTATATGTATTTGTTGATTCTAATTAGACAAACTGATTCTAAAGTTAAACTGAAAAAATAAACTTTAAAGACTAGCCAGAGAAGCAATGAAAAAGAAGGCCAAGAAAGTGAGAGGAGGGCTGCAGGTAAACCCAGTTATTTAAAAAATTACAACTTAAACATTTTAGAACTGGCACATTTTGAATTAGTGGAAGAAAATGATGCCTTACTCAACATATGTTATTAGAAAAAAGACAAAACTGGAATCTTATGTCATTTATACTTAAGTAAATTCCAGATTAGTTAAAAATTCAAATGTGAAAAATACTGTAAAAATAATGGAGAAAAATTGTTGAAAAACAACTTTGCAGAGGGAAATGCCTTCTAAGCAAAACAGCAAATCCAAAACAAAAGTATAAGTTTGGATATATACAAAGAAAACTTCTGGATGGAAAAATACTATAGGCAAAGTTTAAAATATCAATAAATTGAGAAAGAATATCTAAATGTCAGCACTTTCTTTTTTCTTTTTTTTTTTTAAATTTTATTTTTTATAAACATTTTTATCCCCAGGGGTACAGGTCTGTGAATCACCAGGTTTACACACTTCACAGCACTCACCATCGCACATACCCTCCCCAATGTCCATAACCCCACCCCCCAACCCCCCTCCCCCCATCAACCCTCAGTTTGTTTTGTGAAATTAAGAGTCACTTATGGTTTGTCTCCCTCCCAATCCCATCTTGTTTCATTTACTCTTCTCCTACCCCCTTAACCCCCCATGTTGCATCTCCTCTCCCTCATATCAGGGAGATCATATGATAGTTGTCTTTCTCCGATTGACTTATTTCGCTAAGCATGATACCCTCTAGTTCCATCCACGTCGTCGCAAATGGCAAGATTTCATTTCTTTTGATGGCTGCATAGTATTCCATTGTGTATATATACCACATCTTCTTTATCCATTCATCTGTTGATGGACATCTAGGTTCTTTCCATAGTTTGGGTATTGTAGACATTGCTGCTATAAACATTTGGGTGCACGTGCCCCTTCGGATCAGTACGTTTCTTTCTTTAGAGTAAATACCCAGCAGAAGCACTAACTTTCTTAATACGTAAAGTGCTGTTAAGAATCACTGTGGGGCAAGTCACAGAACAAAATAGATTTTGAACATTTGGAAAAATTCTTAACCTCATTCATAAATAAATGCAAGTGAAAATAATAATGAAATAAATTTTAACCTCAGACTGATAAAGATTATTTTTTTGACAAGGATGTGGTGAAATCAGGATCTTAGTGGTTGTTGTTGAGTGTTAATTGGTAAAACCTTTTAGAGAGCATTCAGTATTAGCTTCCAAATTTTAAAAGAATACCTATCATATCCTCTAACCTAGCCTTTCTCTGTAAACTCTCTTTTGGAAGAAAAAAAATATTATCAGTAAGTGATAGAGTAGGCATTTAGTTAGAAGTGAGCTGGAGGCAAGGAAGGTGATGAACAGGTTACGCGTTAGAAGCCTGGGGGCACAACATCCTGACTTTGTGGCTTCCAAGTCCCTGGGGCTAACAGACCAAGAACCACAGGTGCAGAATTGGCTCTTCCATCTCTGCCCCAGGGTAACCCCTAAACTCATTATAACACATATGCATTGCGCTTTTAGCCCCACTCAGTGGGCAAAGGCTGCCTTGACAGTTTTGGTTCAAACCTTATAGGGTCAAAAACTCCCCCTCCCCAAACTGTGGGAGGAGTCCCGCAAATGATTGGAAGCAGCCTCCATTAGAGACCGTGCCTCTTGGAAGAAGACCCCCGCTCCTATAAAAAGAAAGAACCCCTCTAGTCCTATAGCAGTCGCCACCTCTGGGCCAGCCCACTCTCTCACCTAGAGAGTATATTGGCCTTAATAAACTGCTTTCTATTTCCCTTCTATCTTTACTGGAGTGCAGTTCCTCAGGTAAATCTTTCATGGGGAATCCAAGAGCCGACACCTCCACTCACATAAGGTAGACTGTCTTGCCAGGAATATAAGGATGTTTGTTATACCAAAAAAAATAGGAAACAATGTCCATCCATAGGCGACCAATTAAAATGATACCTTCAGGGGCGCCGGGGTGGCTCAGTGGGTTAAAGCCTTCGGCTCAGGTCCTGATCCCAGGGTCTTGGGATCCAGCCCAGCATAAGGCTCTCTGCTCAGCGGGAAGCCTGCTTCCCTTCCTCTCTCTCTGCCTGCCTCTCTGCCTACCTGTGATCTCTGTCAAATAGTTACATAAAATCTTAAAAAAAAAAAAAAAAGACACCTTCATACAATAGCATATACATACAAACTATGAAAAAGAATGTTAGGGGCCCCTGTGTGGCTCATTCGGTTAAGCCACCCACTCTTGATTTTGGCTCAGGTCCTGATCTTAGGGTCCTGGGATTGAGCCTGGTGAGGGGCTCCACACCCAGCAGGTGTCTGCTGGAGGACTCCCCCCACCACTCACCCGCTCACAGGTGTACACGCTTTCTCAAATAAATACATCTTAAAAAATGTTAAATATTCATTAATAATAAAATATATATTTATGTGCCAGGAACTATTCTAGATATTGGAGCTGTAGCTCTGAAGAAGAAGACAAAAACCCTATCCTCTTGGAGCTCTTATTCCAATAACAGGGGACAGATCACAGTGAAATGCAGTAAAGGGTGAATAGGATGCTCATTAGTGTTAAAAAGAAGAGGGAGGCACCGGCACACAGACATAAACATGTTTGTCTAAGCACAGAAAATCTTTGACAGGTAATAAAAGGAGCCGATTGCCACCGGGAATGAGATCTCGAGGTCTGACGAGGGAACGAAACTTTGTTTCCTACAAAAATGTCTTTTTTTCCCTTTTACCACATGTATATAAATTAAAAGGGGGAGAAAAGGTAAAAAAAATTACTACGAGTCTTTCAACAACTGCTGGTAACGTTCTCTGAGCCTCAGAGAATCCTATGCGTAGGTCCTAATGTCCGAAGTAGGTTCTCAGTGCGGCTTGCTACCCCGCTACGCTGGGGACGTCAATCACCGGCGGGTAAAAGGGCAGGCTGCCGAGATAGGAGTTCTTAGAGGCGTCCCAGTGGGTGGAGTCAGCCGCACAAATCATATAAGATATGAGTAAATGCTGATGTTATAGGGTATGACGTTATAGGGTACGTTATAGGAAAACTAGGCGCCGTGGAAGCGAGCTCAGAAAGAACAGAAAGAACAGCAGCACGTTCCACTCCGGAAAAGCGAGGGTCGTGAGGCCAATTTTGCAGCTCTGCGCCTGCGCCAAACGGCAGCGCTGTTGCTTCCCCGGCCGCTGGGTGGCGCCGTCACATTCGGACAGCATTCCAGGGCCCTCAAGGAAGGGACGCTCGCTTTTTCCGGGTCGGGTATTGAAGAGAATCACTTCCTGTGACCCAGCTGCGTCACTTCCACTTAAGATCGGCGTCTGGGCAGTGGGACCTCACGCGGTTTCAACATGCGTATTGAGAAGTGTTATTTCTGTTCCGGCCCTATTTACCCCGGCCACGGCATGATGTTTGTCCGCAACGATTGCAAGGTGAGACGTCCAAGACGAGCGCCCGCTGTGCGATGCTCCCGCGAGCGTGAGGCGGGACGGCTCGACGCCGGGTCCTCCTACTCCTGGAGCGTTTGGGTCGGGTTTTCTGCGCTGTCCTCACAAGAGGGTGATTTTACAAGGAGCTCTGGCCTCGTTCTTGACCTGAGGGCATTTCTCCTTGTGGGTGTCCCGAACCGAGCCCTTTCAGCAGCCCAGCTTTGGACAAGGCTGGCGGCGGCGAGGTTCCCCAGTTATTTGAGCCAGCGCCGAATGGAATCCGGGGGTGTGTTTGGGCTGTTTGGTCTCTCTTGTACGTGAGTGAAGTTCTTGAATTCAGCAGACTTTGTTGAATGTATGCCCAGTCAAGCATCATTACTAAGGCCTGTGTCCACAGAGACGAATAAAACCTGAGAATGTCCGTGACGTGTAGAAGTTGATTGAACTGTTACCTTATAGCTTAGTAGTAGTTCTGTATTACGAAGGCGCAGGTGACTTGGGGAGGGTCGTATACAAAGAGGCTCAGAAAGGAGATGTCCTTTATCCTGGGTCTTGAATGTTGCGTAAAAAAAGGGAGGAGAGTGCATTCTAAGTGGAAGTAAAGTGAACGGTTGAGTAGAGGCGCTGCGAAGCAGTCTCTAGGGAAGTGAGTCGATTGTATATTGTGATAGAGGCCAGGGGTAAGGCTATAAATACACATAAAAGTCTGTATACAAAAAGGTACGTACATAAACATAAAATATAAACGTAATTACGAGGCCTGGTTGCGAAAGACTTTGTGAATGATACATGAATTTGTCTTATAGCAGAATGAATCTCATTCTATGCTTATTTAATACATTGTTTCTCAGAATTCGACCTCTCATATTTGCTTCTGAATCACTGGGCACTGGTGAAAAAAAAAAAAAAGATTTTTCATTTCCACTAGCTCTGTTAAATTGGTGTCTTTGTGGGGAGGAGAAGAGGGTCTAGGATTCCAAACAGGTGACTTTGATATGCTAAGGAAATACAGATCCTATGTCATCACCGTATATCTCTTACAGATGGAAGATATTGACATCATTAGTTAGGAGCAAGGGGTTCCTGCGGAAAGTGTGGGACCAAAGCTAGGTTTGGGAACTTGAAAGAACATGCAGAAGATTTTTGAATATCTGTTGTCAGGAACATGATAAAAAGTTTATAGAAATGAACTAAATAGTTGTTAGGTTGGCATTTAATTCACAGTGGGCACGATGGCTTTGTAGATGATCTGGTCATCATAATTTTATGATTTTTGTCGAGCACTGCTTCTCAGGTGGGTATAGGAATTAAAACAACAGATCATGGGAGCTATCTAGAGTTGGGTGTTGATCTGGCAGACACAGTGGTAATTTATATTGATGAGGAAGTCTGTATTGCTAGCAAGGACAGGTTAGAATTGGCTGGGAGCCATCTTACTCTAGGGAAGACCTGTGGATCCCAAACAGAGTTAGCTGGGGATATAAGAAGCAGAGGTCCTGAAGCACTAAGGAAGATAGGTGTTTCTTCTTCTTCTTCTTCTTTTTTTTTTCCTGTGTTAATGATTCTCAAATCTGTATCTTTTTAGCTCTAGTCTGAATTTTCCACTGGATGCGGAGATCCTGTCTGTAACCAGCAGTGAGCCTATTGAAAGAATTCCTAATTACCTCAGATCTTTTTTGTTTTCTGAATTAATACCACTGTCATATGTCTAGACAGTTTTGCTAGACGTGTGTGAATCATCTTTGCATCTTTCATTTAGTTATGAGGTCATCGATCTGCCTGTGCAGAGTATAGTGGTCTTTGCTTTCTTTCTGCCATCCCACTCTGGTTCCAGATTAGGCACTGGTCATTTTTATAGACACTCTTTTTTTTTGCCTTTTTTCTCTTAGCTTTTGAGACTGTTTCTCATAGAAACCACCCCTCTTAGGCTTCTTGGGTGGCTTCTTAATGGTAGAATTAGTGTTAGTGTTCCATATTTTCATGTACTTTGCAAACATAGAAAATACATGTGCCCTTAATGAGTCCTTAATAAGTGTTCAATCAGTGGAATTTAAGAAAGAGTTGAAGAACTTTGAAGCTGAAATATTAGATCATTTGTTGCAAACTGAGGATGATGATAGAGGACTATGAAGTTTTGCCTCACAATCTATCCATCACCTACCCCACCATAGATTAAATCACTCCCTTATTTTGTATTTCCATGTTACTTAAACATGATCATTGTATGTATTGTTTATGCCCTATCCTGCTCTCAACGTCTCCTTTGTAAATCGAGACTATTAATAATGCTAGCCTAAGCTTCTCATGGTAGAGTATCGTATTTTAATTGTTCTTGTATCTCTAGCACCTGATAATATCAGGTACATAGTAGAACCTTATTTGTGAATTGAATTCCCTTCACATCTCCAGTAATTCCATTCTCTTCAGATACTTCCTTGTTCTTTTTAAGTTAACATCTATTAGATATAGAGTTCAAGTAGACTTCTCTGTAACTCTCCTTGGCTCTGGAATTGAGGAGACCCAGGAGTTCAGTTCAGGCATCTCATTCGGTATATCTCAGAAATGGGGACTTGTCTAGGAGTTATCTAGAAGGTATTAAATGTAGGAGGCTTTTACTTAAAAAGTTAATAGTCCTTTGGACTGAAAATACTAAAAAATTTACTGATAGTGAATTCACAGTGGGATATTCTAGGAGATCCACTTGTATGCATATATTTCCATTTGCCTTGAAACTAATTCAACAGTATAGACATGTTTTGACTCCTGTCCTCTCTAGGAGGTACTTACCTGGGTCAGATTAAACTAGTATTATACTGTTCTAAGAAAACTGTGTCCTAGTGTGTATAGGGACCTGCTTGAATTCCCCCATAGAACAAAGTGTATACATAAAATGAAAAGTATTTTGGCTTGTGATATATACACACAGGTTTGTGATCTGTACACACAATTTGAAATGTTTATACCTCATTTGACTTTTTTTTATGGGCCACATCTTCTAGGTAGGGTAATTAAACTTAAGATTCTTTGTCAAGATCTAGTACTCTAAAGTAGTACTTTTTCTTTTCAGCTTTCCTCTACACGTACAAATTGCAGTGTGTTCTAAGACATTAAAAAGGAATAAAGTATTTTAGATTTCCAGTGAGTCCCAGTAAGCCATTTCAGGGGCACATTGAAGCATCATTAAATCATAAGTTAGCACTGATAAAGGGTCATATCTTCTGGCATAAAGGTAGAGAATTATAATATTGAAGAACTTTCCTAGTAGACCTGTGAGTAAATACTTTAGAACACAAATCTATACCCAATGTTAGTTGCTTTTTTGAAATTATTTTGTGCTGTTAACAAAAAGGATGGAAAGAACCAAAGGAGATTTTGGAATAGGTGTTTGAAACTTTCACCCCCATTGAGGTATATAGCAAGTGAAATTTGAGAATTATTATTAAGTAGGAAGGGATTTAAATAAATGACTTTCCTTGAAACCATTGTTATTATTCATGATGATTTTAAGGTTTTATTGTTAATCTATAAAAATGACTGGTGATTTTTAACCATATACTTGGGGCTCTTGAGCCATTAGTTGTGATGATATTTGATAGTCAAATAATAGTAAAAAAGAATAGTTCATTTTACATTTAATCTTATATGTCTCACATATTTTTAAATGGTGTTGTAAGTAGAAGGAGTTGTTAGAATCATTGTCATTTCTCAGACTTTGCACTATATTTTTATGGCATGCATAACATCCTAGGATAGAAACATTCTTAATGTTGACTCCAGTATTTTAACTTTTTTTGTAGGTGTTCAGATTCTGTAAATCCAAGTGTCATAAAAACTTTAAAAAGAAGCGGAATCCTCGCAAGGTCAGGTGGACTAAAGCATTCCGTAAAGCAGCTGGTAAAGAGCTTACAGTGGTGAGTATAGTTAGCTATCAGTATAATTACTAACTTTGGTATGGGAAGGTTATTATTAGGTATTAAATGTAATTTACCTATACCAAGATTTTCTATGACAAGATTGGTGAGTGATTTATTTGTATTTGGCGATTGTAATAATATTGTAACATCCTAAAAACCATAAATCTGCAGAATTCTGTAAAGGAAAAAATTCCTAATTCAGTTTATGGAAGTGATTTTCCTTATTCTCAAAAAACCATTTTTTTAGTTCCTGCACACAAAAGGGAAAATAATTTAAATGGATTGGGGTGAAGTTGGAAATTACTACTCAAGGATTTTAAGAGGAAGCTAACAGATTAAAGGCTTCCTTAATACCATTGAGGGCTCTGATGAGATTCGTTGTAGACTCATTTGTTAGTTTCTGGATTTCCTTACAGGACTTTGAGAGCAGGGAAGTGTGTGTTGAAGGAGAAATAATGGGAAGTCATGGGTGAGGGAATTTCGCACATGAGCGTCCATCATTAGGTTGTTACTGGGTTGGTACAAGGGCCTGGTGAAGCTTGTCCACATTTGACCCCTATAAAAGGAGGAGGTGAAAGCTGCTGCGCAAGCTGCCTTTGAAGGAGGAAGATCTTTAAACTGTTCCTTCCCTCCATGACTTCCTCGTTCCCACCTCTCTACTCCTTTAAGGGCAGTATCTCTTTTCTTTTCTTTTCTTTTCTTTCTTTCTTTTTTTATTATATTAGTCACCGTAAGTACCTCATTAGTTTTTGATGTAGTTCTCCTTGATTCATTGTTTGTGTATAGCACCCTAGTGCTCCATGCAGTCTGTGCCCTCCTTAATACCCATTAGTGGGCTCACCCACTCCCCTACCCACCTCTCCTCTGAAACCCTCAGTTTGTTTCCCGCAGTCTGTAGTCTTTCGGTTTGTTTCTCCCTCTGATTTCCACCCCCCTTCATTTTTCCCTTCCTTCTCCTAGTGTCTTCCATACTATTCCTTATGTTCCAAATAAAAGCGAAACCGTGTAATTGTCTTTTTCTGCTTCACTTACTCAGCATAATCTCCTCCTGTTCTATCCATGTCGATGCAAATGGTGGGTATTCGTCCTATTGATCAATATTCTATTGTGTATATGGACCACATCTTTATCCATTTGTCTGTTGAAGGGCATCTCGACTCCTTCCACAGTTTGGCGATTGTGGACATTCTGTGAACATTCGGTGCATGTGGCCCTTCTTTTCACTACATCTGTATCTTTGGGGTAAATACCCAGTAGTGCAATTGCTGGGTCATAGGGTAGCTCTATTTTTAACTTTTTGAAGAATCTCCATGCTGTTTTCTGAAGTGGCTGCACAACTTGCTTTCTCACCAACAGTGTGTGAGGGTTCCTAAGGGCAGTCTCTATGCAGTTGCTATGAAGACCCTTCCTGGCTTCATTTTCAGCGAATGGGAAAAATATTTTTTGACAAGGTGCAAAGCCAATTCACAATTATTGTCACAAAAATAATTTCCGGTATGGATGAGAATAAACAGCACTTCAAATGCCGGTGACAACTTCATGAGAGAAGAAAGGATGCCAGTCACAGTCATTTGCTGGTGACCAGTTAGTTGCCTTGTCCTTGCTGAGGTTATTGTGATTGAACAGGTCATGTATATGTAAATGAAATAGGTAAATACAGAGTTAGTGCTGTTCCATTTGCCTATCTCAGATAAAGAAATAGACCTGCAGTTTTTCTAAGAAATTTGTAGTGTTTCTCTAAAATTGTTTCACATGTTTTGAGGTAAGTAGGGTTTATTAACTGTCAAAATACGAACTACATTTAGAGGGCCTGAAAAATTTCTGGGAGAAAATTTTGTCATGCAGAACAGCACCACATTTATTTGAAGATGTGTAGTTTTACACTTTGATGTTATAATAAAGCTATATCAATACTGAAATGTATAAACATGATAGGTGTGTAGGTTCAACAATGTGAAGTTCTCAAAGTTTGACTCCTTTTGATCTGTGAAAAGTGGTAATTCATATGGTTCAGCCTAATAGAAAGTTTTCTGCCTGTGAGTCTGTCTTATCTTGGAATGGGAATTTAGGGAAGCCTCTTCAGTTTGTTTGAAATCTTCATGATTGTTATATGACCCTCTGAAGGATGGGGCTGATACCCTCCTTCTCTTGTCTTCTTAAAAATCACTTTTATATTGATTGATGTTTTCAGTAGGGCTGTCTTGTACATCTGGTGTGTAAAGGAGAAGTGATATGAAAACTTGGCATTTGCTAGGGTCACCCTAGGGAAATCTTAATATGTGTCTATGATTTGAAACACAACTCTTGGTGACGAAGAGAAGTTTTTAAGAAATGCTTCCTTTTGTATCTCTCTTAGAACCATATTTTTCCTTTTCTTACAGGATAATTCATTTGAATTTGAAAAACGTAGAAATGAACCTGTCAAATACCAGCGAGAGTTATGGAATAAAACTAGTAAGTCACAAAAAATTACCAGGAATTTTGAGGAGAGACTGTTTTGGGATAGTGCTTTGAATTTAATGTTTAATATTTAAATATTAATTTTCTTTTCATTGGTTGGCTTTTATTCTTTTCCTCATTTAATGGTTCTGTTGTACTTGCATCTTTTATGATAAGCTGCCCCAAATCCTTTTCAGAATTGGCTGATGTGTCCATTATAAAAATAATGTAAGGGCTCCTGGGTGATTCAGTCATTTAAGCATCTGACTCTTGGTTTCAACTCGGGTCATGATCTCAGGGTCGTGGGTTGGAGCCCTGTGTTGGGCTCTGCATTCAGTGTGCAGTCTGCTGGAGGTTCTCTCCTTCTGCTCCTCCCCCTGCTCACTCCTCTCTGAAATAAATAAATATTTTTAAAAATGTAATTATTAGATTTTATATTATTTGGAGTGTCTATACAAAGATATAAAAAGATTTAAAAATCTGAGAATAGAGGTGGAGAATACTTTTTTGGGGGTGAGTGTGGCAAAGGTATACAAGTTTAAATAATTTGGTTAGGGTTATAAACATTCTGTATACCTTATAAAATGTAATGTTTCTGTAAAATTGAAAAGTACAGTACTTACGGTGGTAATTATATTTCCTAAGAGAACTTCTAAGTGCATGACTTAGGTATAAATCAAGCTATCGACTACTGAAGTTAAAAGCAAGGATAATACTCCTTGTCTTTTTCATTTTTCCGAAGTAGGCAGAGACTAATGAAAAAAAAAAAATCCCATATGTAGTAAAACCACATTCCTTAAGCTAGCCCCTATGTGTATGTTTGAGGCCCTTGGCTTTGACTTTTCTTTTCCCTACAGCTGTCTTCTGCAATCTTTAGCCATTTCTAGTCTTGGGTGATATAGTTGGTTTTGTTAATTAGAAGTTCCCAGGGCTCAGAGTCCTGTGGACTTTGCCAATTTTTTTTTATAAGATTTTATTTATTTATTTGACAGAGAGATAGAGCCAGAGAGCACAGTGTCGGAGGGGAGGTGGGAAAGGGTGAAGCAGGCTCCCTGCTGAGCAGGGATTTCCACCCTCCCACCCCCATCCCCAGTGCAGGGCTTGATCTCAGAGCCCTGGGATCATGACTTGAGCTGAAGGCATACAGTTAACCAACTGAGCCACCCAGGTGCCCCGGCTTTATCAGATTTGAATGGTTCATAGGCAGGGCTTTTTATCTCCTTTTGCCCAGTCACAGCACTTTGGGGGAGGAATTGAAAAATTAGGGGCTTTGTGGTAGTACTTGCCACCCTCTAAAAGATTTTTATCTTCCTGGACCATGTGGAGATTTCAGAGTCAAGTTTTGGAATTGCCTTTTCCACATGGCCTTAAGTGTTTTGCTTCTTGGTGTTTTGTTTTTTTAAATAAAGTCATTCCTTCTGTTTTGTAATTAGAGGAGGAGTTAATTTCTGAAGAGCAGTGGATTTTACTAGGTTTATTTGCTAAAAAAATAACGGATTCAAACTCAAGGATTTCAGAAGAGATTAATAGGATTCTTTTATTTTAATTGAGATATAATTGACATATAACATTCATTTCAGGTGTACAATGTAATGATTTGATATTTGTATATATTGTGAAATGATCACAGTAAATCTAATTGACATCTGTCACCACACATTTTTGATACGAATTCTTACAGTGTTTCTAAAAGGCAAACTTGTCAAGGACATTTTTAGAAGGTCCTAAAACATTTCTATATCCCATTGAATTTTATTTTGGCCTTTTCTTTTTTGTTACTCTTTCAAGATAGCCTCCTCAGATTTGATTTCCCACAACCCCTATTTCAATATCATAGGTCTGTAAGCTAATCTGTTGGCAATAATTTTATACTTATTATTTACATTTTTAAATTGTGTCAAGATAGGGACTGAGCAGCCTTTGTTAAGATGCTGATGTCAACAGTAGGAGAACTTCCAAAACAAGAATACTAAGTAAGAATAGTTTGTATTTTATCCCTTATGTCTCTGTATTTCAGATCGTTTTTAGTATCAGGTGCTTCTTACATTTAAAATTTTTCAGTCTTATGGAATATTTGGAAATGTAGTGTCTTACTGTTTGGAAAGGATTTACCTGCCACTTCTGTGTTTTTATTTCCCTTCTGAGTAACTCTAAGGTACAGAAATACTTTTGAGTACTAGACCTTATCCTTAATCAATTTCTTTTGAAAGGCAAAGAAAGAAAAAGTTATATATCTGGCATATTTAGCATGTGTAGATGTAGAGTTGACTTTGTCTTAAGACTATTCACAGAAGCATCGCCTTAATACCAGTGCCCCCATGGGGCCGTCTGGGGAGTCTTATTAAAATGCAGATTGTGATACAGCATGTCTGGGTGGAGCCCAAGATTCTGCATTTCTAACAAGCTCTCAGATAATGCCAATGTTGCTGGACCCCGGATTATACTTAAATGTGTATTAAGTAATACACTTAAAAGTATGTTACACTTAAATGTGTATTTGTTTGTTTAAAGATTTTCTCTTAGTGCTGGTATAGATTCTAGAATCAGCTCCTCTACACAATTCCCAGAACAGTTGGATTTTAGTGGTTGGGAACATGGTAAAATGATTGGCTTATTCTGTCAATATTCATCCTGTGCAGATCATATCCCAGGCACTTAGAGAAATAGTATTTATGCCCAGAATGGTGCTTTTATTAATGGAGAGGACAGGCTAAGAAGGGATTAGTTGCCATTAATCCATTCTGTGTAAAGTTTGAGAAGCATTGGGCTGGTTTAAAGTAGAAGGAAAACTTCGTAGCAATAAAGGCTTTTGTAAAATAAAAATAGAGATTTATTTGTGAAAGATAGTTAACAGTGATGTCAGCCAAGAGTATTTGCCTTCTTTAGCTATTTTAGTAGGGATTTTTTTTCCAATGAGTTTTTCATTTAATACATTTCTAAATGGGAATAAAAGGGAGTGATCATGAAAGCTTTTGCTTGGATATGCAAAAATTTGCTAACTCTTAATGAATTTTTTTTTGTAGTTGATGCAATGAAGAGAGTTGAAGAGATCAAACAGAAGCGCCAAGCTAAATTTATAATGAACAGGTATGAATATATGTATCAAGTAACTCTCGGAAAAATAATTACTACTAGAAGTCCAGAGAATTTTTTTTTCCACTTTTTATTTTCATTTAACCTCAGAAAATTAAGAATACTATAAAGAACTTTTGTATATTCTTTACTGTATCCTTGTCTCTATAGTAAGTTGAAAACATGATGCCCTTTTCCTGAGGATATTTCAGTGTATATATTCTAAATATAAGAACATGTTCTTTTTTAACTGTAGTATAGTTACCAAAATCAGGAAATTAATATTCAACAATACTATTATATAACCTACAGACTTTATTTAGATTTGAGCAGTTCTAGTCATGTTCTTTATAGCAGCAGACAATCCTGGATCTTTCATTGCGTTTAATGGTAATATCTCCTCAAGCTCCTTTTATCTGGACACTTTCTCATCTTTCTTAAATGACATTGACATTTTTGAAGAGTACAGGTCAGTTATTTTAATAGACTTTTCCTCTGTTTGTGGTTGTCTAATGTTTGCTTCATGATTAGATTCAGGTTAGGTACTTTTGACCAGAATATCATAGGAATGATACATAAGAAAGACATACGGATTAGGAGGCACATGTTATCCCAAGTGACTGATCACTTGGTTAAGGGTTATCTGCCAGTTTTCTCCAAGGGAAAGTTTTTTCCCTCCTTTTTAATCAGTATATATCTTAGGGGAATACTTTGACACTCTACAAAGAGTCCCTTATTTCTCAAACTGGTGCCTACTGGTGTTAGCATCCAGTGGAACCTTGTCTGAATCTGTTATTATAGTGATTGTTGCTAAATGGTGATTTTTCCAATTCAGTGATTTCTTCTACACTGATTAGTTGGCTTTCCCATATAAAAGAACTTCTCCTTTTTACAATTTCAAAATGTATTCCTTTATTGTTTATTCATAGATCTGTGTGTATTCATTCATTCTTATGGTATTCAGTGGGTTATAATTATTTGTCATTATTTATTTTGATGTTCCAAGTGCTCCAGATTGGCCGGTGGGAATTCCTTCAGGCAGGCTTCCATGTCATCTTGACAATTCCTCATCTTTTTTTGGGTGCTTTCTTTATGGCTAACAAGATGTGGCCTCATCTTACACTTCCCTGGCCCTAGCCTAGAATTGGTCTTTCTTTTAAAGTAGATTTACTTATTTTTTATCTCATCACTATTTAAATCTGTCTTAGAAAACATGTGCAAACAGCTTTCTGGCTTTAAAAAAATGAATTGCTACAAAAAGGGAGCCTAAATGTTTGAGAAAGACTATTAGCTTGTTTGTCTAAAATGAATGTTTTACATGTTTTGTGTTCTTATAATTACTGACTTAAAAAAATTAGTTAACAGTGTATTCTCAGTTTGAGGAGAAAAGATCTAGGCATTTTATTTGTATAATAGACTTTGATGTCTGAGATTTAATTCTTTCTTTCAACCCCATTTCTTCATTCACTCAGCAATATATATATATATTAATCTCCACTTTATCCCCAACTCAATACTAGGGATATAATCAATGAACAAATTGGTAGTGTAGAAATCCTGATTTGTTATGCTTATTAGGAACTAGAAAATAATTTTGAGTTCTCATTGCTTATCTGTGTGGCTAATAAAATTTATTTTTATAAATTATTAATATCTTTTAAAGAAGTTAAAGTAACTGAAATTTTGGCTTTGATATGTTTTATCCTAGATTAAAGAAAAATAAAGAATTACAGAAAGTTCAGGACATCAAAGAAGTTAAACAAAACATTCATCTTATCCGGGCCCCTCTTGCAGGTAAGTACTACATTACACAGGAGTTCTCTTTCAGTAGAGAGATGAAAAATCTACATTGTTGCAGTCTATGTAAATGAGTATCAGCTTTTTATGTTTTTTTATGTAAATACCTGATTTATGATACAACTTGGTTTTTAAAAATATGATTTATGCATTGTATTTCCCAGTCCCAATTTTATTGCATATGGTGTTTCTTTCCCTCTTCATAGAATCATATTTCATAAGCTAGTCCAAAGATTCAAGTAACAATTTCATAGACTTTGCTTCTATTTGTTTTTATTAAGAACACTGTTTTATAGGAGTGGTTTTCTAACTTTTGTTGGAATGGGAATTAATTGGGGGAATTTATAAATATGGAGGCCCAGGCCTTTTGAGTCTGAGCTTCTGTTCCTTTGTAGCTCTCTGGGTTCTGACACTGATTTTGATACTCAAGTTTGAGAACTGCTGTTTTGGGTTTTAAAACCTTTTTTGTGTGTTTATGTAACTTGCCTGTGGTCATCCACCTGGGCAGTCGTTTGTGTGCGTAGTTTCTTTTGTGAGGTGCTGGAAAACCAGTTTTTACTCAGCAGGCACCAGATACCATCTGTTATATAATTTAGTTATGCAGATTACCTGAAGGGAGAGAAATTTTGGTGAGATTTAGTTGAAGAGTTGATTCCTGAATGATTCCCTGCCTAAACTTTAGTAAAGGTCAAATTCTGAAACTGCATGTTGAATAGGTTAAATAGATTAATTTTTGTACCAAATTTTATTAAAACAAAATAGACAAAATCCTGGAGCATTATTTCATGTATAGGCGATATGAATTGACCCCCAAACAACAGGAATGAACTGTTATTTAACTTTTTAGGTAACGCTTTGAGGGTAGATAAGTACAGTGTTAAAAGCAGGGACTTTGGATCCAGAGGGCCAGGATTCCAATCCTAGCTCTTTGACTTAATGGGCTTACTTAGTGATTTGGTACAATTTCATCTGTCTCTGGGTCTCTGTTCCCTCATTTAAAATGTAGGTTGTTAGGAGGGTGTATGGAATACTTACTTTATGCAGGGCAGATTGTAAGACCTGTGTAAGTTTAGTTAACTATACTTAAATTTCTCAACATCTAAGATCCTTTATTAAGTATTGGTATAAGTTTGGCAAGGTCACATTGATTTTTTTTTTTTTTTTTAAGGCAAAGGAAAGCAGCTGGAAGAAAAAATGGTGCAGAAATTACAACAGGATGTGGACATGGAGGATGTTTCTTAAAAATCTCACTGTTTCTATACGTGTTTTTGAAAATCTCCTTAGGAGACCAGGAACTTGAGTTATCAATTTATATTTTAAATAAGGTCACTCAAATGAAAGGTAATTAAAAATACATCTCTCCTACATTGCTATCATTATGGCTGTTAGATTCCATCTCCATTGTTAAACCTACTGAGAGTTATATTTATGTAAGTCATGCAAATTCTCTTTGTAAATACAAATGTGGACATACAATGGTCCTGCTGTTTGGATAGTGGTACTAGGCAGATTTATGTGAACTAACAACAAAATTCATGGCTAGCAATATGTAAAATAAATTTTCTTTGCAGTAAAGTATTCCCTTTATTAATATTATAGAAAGGGGGCTTACAACAAAGAACTGAACCTGTATGATAATTAGCTGTAAGTAATCTTTTGATTTCAGTATTTGTTTTGGTTTCTTAGCATCTTAGAAGAGCATATTGGCCTCACCTATTGAAACTTAATTATGTTGGACTGTGTTGACCTGCTTTAACTGTTTTGATAGGCAGCTCTTAGTGCGGGGGGTAAGAGCTGAATAGTGTGCTCCTGAAGTGGCACCGTATACTTTCCACTTTGGAGAATACTTAATTCTGAGATTATGGATAGAACCAAATACATTTTTCCAGCATAGCAGTGATTTAAAAGCAGAGGAATTGCAGTGTCTTTTAAGATATGTTATGTGGCTTTCTTTTATAAAGCTCCTAATTGTTCTTGGAAAATAGAATTTATGGTTTTAGCATCACAATTTATTTGCACATAAGATCCTTTTTTCTAACGTAACTACAAGTTTTTTGTTTAGAAAAAAGTAAAGGAAGTATTAGTGGGAAGAAAATAATTCCCTCACTCCCACATACTACTGAAATAGATTTTTAATTAAAAATATATTCTGGATATGTAATGTTTTTGTATTTCTACAATATTTGCAACTTTAAAATCCTATTTATTTATTTGACAGAGAGATCACAAATAGGCAGAGAGGGAGAGAAGGGGGAAGCAGGCTCCCTGCTGAGCAGAGAGCCTGATGCAGGGCTTGATCCCAGGACCCTGGGATCATGACCTGAGCCGAAGGCAGAGGCTTAACCCACTGAGCCACCCAGGCGCCCCTATTTGCAACTTTGAAGATATTAAGTAACTCAGTTGTATTGTTTTTTGAGGACAGAACTTAGAATAAATTACAATCTTAGGGTTATATAGGGGAAATAATGTAAGAAACCAAAGACTTGTTAAATTATTTGAAGTTTTCACTCCACAGATGTATGTTTGCTTTAATATAAACATATTTAGGATTACCTCCTGTTAGATTTCCTACCTTGTTAGTTAGTAAGCTGTTGCCTTAAGTCCATCAATATGGGAAATTGAGCTAAAAGGAAGAACTGACATGGCATCTCAAGTTTAACATCCAGACTCTTCTCTTAACTATCAGGAATTCATAGTATTTTGAGACCCCAGGTATCATTATAAACTATGGATGCAGATGCCACAGTGTTACCCCCTGCAACTCTCTAAACTTGGTTGGATCACTGAGTTGTCCCTTTAAAATGTTGCCTGAGAAGGGGCCTGGTACAGTACTGTTGTTTCTCTTTGTCTGATTGAGACCTCTGCTGGGCAGTTAGTGTAATAGAAAAGCATAAAATTTTCCAGGTACTTGATACACAGAACTTTAATGTTCTCTAATTGCTTTAGGGTAAAAAAACACTGGAAGTCATTGGAAAGAATTTCCTTATACACTTGCCTTATAAAACCCTGTAGGGTAGCAAAAAGAAACAAAGGGGCACTTGGCTGGTTCAGTCTATAGAGCATGCAACTCATGATGTCAGGGTCTTGAGTTCAGCCCCATGTTGGGTGTATAGTATACTTAAAGGAAACTTATTAAATCTCATTTCTTAGAAAACCTTAAAAAAAAAAATAGAAAACTTTGAAAGATGTTTATCTGGTAGAAAAGTTCCGTTAAGGACTGACCTATTTCCTAACACCCTGTGAAGTAGCACTCTGTTTTTATAGATGCCAACAGTTTTAGGTAACTTGCCTCTTTTTCACACAGAAGATGGAGGAGGTAGCAATTTGTATTCATCCAAGTGCCAGTGTCTAAAAAGAATTTATCCAGAGCCTCAGATCCAGTCTTTACAAGTCCCGCTGATGGCTGTGAGAGAGCACTATAAGTTACTTGAGCGATGCTCAACTTGACTGTGCCTTAATTTCTTGATTGGAAAAATGGAAATGATAATATGACTAACCTGAGGATTTTTTTATGAGGATCCAATTAGGTAATACTGTAAAAATTTTTTTTAAAAAGATTTTATTTATTTATTTGACAGAGATCACAAGTAGGCAGAGAGGCAGGCAGAGAGAGAGGTGGAGGCAGGCTCCCTGTGGAGCAGAGAGCCCGATGTGGGGCTCGATCCCAGGACTCTGGGATCATGACCTGAGCAGAGGCTTAACCCACTGAGCCACCCAGGCGCCCCTGTAAAATAGTTTTATCAAAGTCACTACCATAGTGGCAAGTGTTAAAATGTTAGCTCTTAGGATTGGCTATGTGACCACACAAAACTCACAGCAGTGGGCTTTGCCTCAGGACAAAGGTGGAGCATATTAGTGTTTGGGGGTAAATATAGCTAAATTGAGTTTGTGGACTAATTACAGTGCAGACAGGGTTGCATAGAGTTTAAAACATTAGTTTTAGCTTTTAATGTCACTTAGAAAATTCACTTATTCAGAGCATCTTACTCCCCATTCTCTGTTACGAAGGTTGGGAGGGGCAATACATTTCTTCTTTGTCAGCTAGTAGTTTAAACAGTGAATTGTCACCCACTATTTTAAGGGCTAATTTATATAAAGGAACTTATTTGTCCCTTAGCTTACATTTTAAATGGAGATTGAAAAAAGACTTCAGACTTTACAAATATTCATAATGTAAATTCTAATATTGAATGAAGACTACCTTATAAAAATTAAGACTGTAGCTTGCTGTATTAAAAGTGTTGATAAGGGGAAAATTGGTATCAAAAAAAGAACACAATTTCAAAGTCTATAGGAAGAATTTTCCAAAAATCAGTATTCCTTTATTGATAAGTAACAAAATTGAAAAGGCAACTCATAAATTTTGCCCTGCATGTCTTTATATTCAATATCATTAGCCTCAGGTTGATTTGAATCAGTTGTGTCTATTGATGAATTTCTTTTTAATAAGTGACCTTTTGCTTAAGAATGTATTCTTATGTTCTGAATGTAAAAATCTGTACATTCTGGTGCCACTACTTGAGCCTCGGGTTTGAGCTATTCTGCTCCAAAATATTCCCTGGGTTTTATATCTTAATTGAAGGCGTCATGTGGGGACTGAAGACGGTATTTCTAACATACAACCTTCCCTATGGTACCAGTTACTGGATATCATTCTGAAATCTCTCATTCTGTGGCGGCCCTATGCTTGCCAGTAGATTCCTTTTTCAACATTTGTGATAAAAAATCTTGACTAATACATATCTCCATCTGCAGCAAACCCAGGCAGCCCACTACTGTCATGATCTTCAAGGGTACAGGGAGGTTATCTTATCGCAGGCACATATTAGGTCCCTGGTGCCTAGAAGATACATGGTGAGTGTGACTAAATGGGAAACCAGTGTGTAGCCCTGTGCTAGCTTCACTGGAGTTTATTTTTTAAATAACCAGTAACTTGAAAAATAAAAAGCCTATATTACCAGCAGTGAACTACATTAAGAAAGGAAGCATTTTTTGACAGTATCAGTCAGATCTGCATTGTTGGGAGACTTGGTGAGGAACAATGTTTGCTTTAGGTTGCCTACCAGATTTTGCTTATGTCTACTTGTTTAGAAGTGATAGATAACCTGCATTTCTGGGTTTGGCTGGTGCATTTATACATCAAGAAATCTCAGGAAGGATTTAGCATAAGCTGGTATGGCAAGGTCCTTAAAGAAGTTTTGCCTGTACCTTGCTTTGCTGATGGAAGAAATACTTCAGGAGCCACAAAGTATAAAAATAGAAATAATGACAATGAATTGGGAAGAACTGGTTAATACCTAAAGAATGTTAACCAACCTTGGGGCGCCTGGGTGGCTCAGTGGGTTAAAGCCTCTGCCTTCGGCTCAGGTCATGATCCCAGGGCCCTGGGATCAAGCCCCGCATCAGGCTCTCTGCTCAGCAGGGAGCCTATTTCCCCCCCCCCCACACCTGCCTGCTTCTCTGCCTACTTGTGATCTCTGTCAAATAAATAAATAAAATATTTAAAAAAAATGTTAACCAACCAAAAAATACAAGGGACAGGTTCTTTAGTATTTTTGAGGAACTCAGTTTTCAGTTCTTTTAAATGCTTGCTTTAATACGTTACAATAAAATGATATATAATTAGTTTGCTGCCAAGCCATGAGACGCCTAGGAACACCAGTGAAGTATGCCTTTCTAGTCCTGAGTTACTCTACACAGTTTTCTAGTGTAAATCTAATGAGACTTAGGTATTTCCTTTTTTTTTTTTTTTTAAGTTTTAGAGAGCACACCCAAATAGGGGGAGGGGGAGGAGGCGAGACAGAATCGTTAAGCAGACTCCCCGCTGAGTGTGATGTCCAGTCTGGGCTTGATCACAGGACCCTGAGATCATGACCTGAGCCAAAATCAAGAGTCAGACAGTTAACCAACTGAGCCAGCTGGGTACCCCTGTATTTCCTCTTTTGAAAGCAAGGAATGGAGTGTAGGGAGTGAGCAAGTATAAAAGCCCACCTGATTAAAAGGTTTTGCCATTTAATACAACATACTTTGTTAAACTATAGGTGTGTACCTTGTATTGTTGAGAGTTCTCCTCAGTGCTCTGATTATTCATACTGCCAAATACCAGGGCTAGTAGCTTTTGAATTTGTAGTAGTACAGTTTCCCCCATTTTTAATGGAAATAAAAATTGTGAAGGAGAAAACATCTCAAAGGAGAGGTCACAACCTCTTAGTACCATTGCTCACACATTTGCAAACATGTAGTACCACCTACTTCCAGAGTTGTAAGAATCTAATGCCAGTTACTATAGCCAGGTATGTTTCATATAGTATTTTAGAATATTCACAACCCTTTAGGTCAGTCCTGATTTTGCAGATATGGAACATGACGTTAAAAGAAATTGAATAGCTTGCTCCATGTCACAACTAGCAGAGCTTAGAATTAAGCTCAGTCTGACTTAGTCACTAGCTGATATCCTAAACAGCATCTAGTATGTTGCCTGGACACAGTTGGTGCTCAATATGTTTATTCATTCAAGGAAAAAAAAAAAATCTAACCGTAAAAGAAGGTGTTCTGGAGAATCGGATAGATTGTTATGAAGTAGTTTTTTATTTTGTGACTAGAACGAATCCTTTTTCTTACCAGTTCTTCCAGGACTGACAGATGATCATCTGTCCCAGCTTTTGTATAGTTAAGACAGCAGATCTAATGAAATGTTTTTGAAACTTACAGTCTTAAAAAAATTAGTATTTTTAACAAGCTATCAGGTGATGGCTGACCAGGAGCCTCTTGAACTTTATTCCTTCCATGGACACACAAGGGATAGTTAAATACAAAGCAATTATTGCTGAAAAAAATCCAGAAGCTAGCTAAGTGACTTACACATTGGCCGAATGGGTAGCAATACTTCTATCAGAAAAAAGACTTCAAAACAAAGTCTGTAGCAAAACAAAACAAAACAAAACAAAAACAAAAAAAACGAAGGGCACTGCATAATGATAAAGGGGTCAATCCAAGAAGAGGCTGTTT